ACTAAGATACTGCGCCAATTTAACTAAACTGAGTTTAGAGGCACTAATCAAAGTGAGTGGACCTAAACAAAACAATGTAAAACATGCATGACCAGCACAGAAAAGAATTAGCATCCAAAAAAGGGCTCCAAATAGAAACTCGGGAGATTAAAAATTTTGTTGAATGTACGGGTGACAAATGTGACAAATGTGAGGACAGTTTCAGAACTATAAGACGAGGGGCTGTTGTCAGTGACCAATTAAAGAGACCTTAAAAACAACAAAAGAATATGAGATGGATTGGTAGCTCCTGGTTGACATAAAAGACTAATCAAGATTAATTGGAATTAGTGAAAAAAAAAAAACAAGACAGCATAAATGACATAAACATCCAGTTTACTGCAATAGGTGAAAACTTAGGCTACATAGTGAGTTGAGGGCAAGAATGAACTCACCTAGTGAGACCCTGTCTCAAAACAAAACAAAACAAAATAAACCCCTCAATCTTTCAACTAAGGTGAAAGAATTTAACATATAGATAGTTAGATGAGGCATATAGAACCCAAAAAATCACAATGAGAAAAGAACCTCTCCATGACACATCATAGGCAAAATCTTGGAAATCCGACAAGACAGAACCTTAAAAGCAGAGAAAAGCAGCAAATTACTTGTAAAGGAAAACCCATTAAACTTGCAGCATACTTCTCAGCCTAAATCTCCTAGACAGCTTGGAGTAAAAGTTTGAAGCACTAAAAGAAAAACAATTTCCATTTCAGCCTGACCTGCAAAACTATGAAATTCATGACCATTACGAAGAATTCTCAAAGATATCCTAAAAGAGACAAAGAAGCAAACTATGACAGAAAGTTTAATAGAATGAATGTATCAGGTAGAAGGGAAAGACAGGGAATCAGTAACAGGAAAACAAGACAATGACAGGAGTAAGTCAATATCCATCAGTAACAACTCTCAGAGTGAATGATCTAAATTCCCCAGGTCAAAAGAACAGATTGGAAGAATGGCTCAAGGAACAAAATCCAATTTAATTACAAAAAACCTCACAGACTAAACATAAAAGTATGGAAAACAGAGTTCCATGTAACAGCAACCTAAATATAGCAGCTACATTATATCCAGACAGGACTTCAAGTCAAAACTGATCAAAAGAGGCAAAGAAGGTCATTACACATTTGGTTAAGGGAACAATTCAACAGGGAGGTAATTATTAACATACATGTACCAAATAGTTGTGCCCAACTTCATAAAACAAATTCTACTGGACATAAAAATATACTAATTTAGTCGGAGAATCTCAATGCCACTATCACAAAGAGATAGATTCACTAAATAGTCACAAAAAAAAAATCAACAAAGAGATATCAGAGTTGAACAGATGGACTTAATAGATATATATGGACCATTCCACCCAAAAACAAAACACACATTCTTTTTTTTTTTTTTTTTTTTTTTCTTTTTCCTATTTATTGGTACCGGGGATTGAACTCACAACTGCCCACTTGCAAGGCAGGCACTTATGCCGCTGAGCTAAATCCCCAGCCCCTAAAATACACATTCTTTTCAGCAGCCATAGAACTGTCTCCAAAACAGATCACATACTGGCCAATGAATCAGCCTTCAGTAAATGTAAAATAATTGAAACTATATCATGTGTATTGTCAGATTGCAGCACCATAATTTTAGAAATCAGCAACAAACCAAAACTCAGAAATTATGCAAATGCATGTAAACTAAACAATACATTCTTTTTTGGTACCAGGGATCCAACTCACGACCTAGGGCTTGCCAGACAGGCATTCACGCTGCTGAGCTAAATCCCCAGCCCCAACAATACATTCTTAAGTAAACAAAAGGCTACAGAAGAAATCAAGGAAGAAATAAAATAGTTTCTAAAACTAAATAATAATGTCAGTACAATACATGAGAACTTATGGAACACAATAAAAACAGTCTCAAGAGGGAAGTTTAGAGCTATGAATGCCCAAATCACAAAAACAGAACAAACCAAAGTAAATAAATCAGCAATACAAGGTTCTAGAAAAACAAGAACAAATTCAAAGCTAGTACAAGGAAGGAAATTAGAAAGGTTGGAGCAGAAATCAGTAAAATTTGGGTTAAAAAGAAGAGTTACAAAGAATTAATGAGTCTAAGAGTTAGTTCTCTGAAAGAAAACAGCCAGTCCCACAAGGAGAGAGAGAGAGAGAGAGAGAGAGAGAGAGAGAGAGAGAGAGAGAGAGAGAGAAAGAAACAAGACCCAAATCAATGCAAATAAAAACACAAAATTACAATGGAATTTATTGAAATAAAAAGCATTACAACTACTTCATAAACCTGTATGCCAATACAATGGAAAGTTCAGAAGAAATGGATAGATTCCTAGATATGAATTACCAAAACTGAACCAAGAATATTAAAAAACTGAATAATCCAGTAACAGTCAGTGAAGTTGAAGTAGTGATAAACAACCTACCACCTAAGCATAGCCCAAGTCTGTGTGGGTTACTACTGAATTCTATAAAAACTTAAGCCAAAACTAATCAAAGAGGCAAAGAAGGCTACCACTTATTGGCTAAGGGAACAATCCAACAGGAAGATTTGAATGAAATTGAAAGTAAGTTGTCCAGCCTCATTCCAGGGAGTTACCATTATCTTGATTCCAAAACCACACAAGGATCCAACCAAAAAAACAACTATAGACCAATCTCTTTAATAAATATACATAAAAAAACTTCAACAAGATACTGCCAAGCAAAATAATGCATGAATCATCAAAAAGATACATCATAACCAAGAAGCCTTCATCCCAGGGATGCATGGATGGTTCAACATATGCAAATCAATAAATGTAATACACTGCATAAAGAGAAACAAGAACCAAATACATTATCATTTCAATAGACACAAAAAAGCCTTTGACAAAAATCCAGTATCTTTTAATGATGAAAACACTGAAGAAAATAGACGTAGAAAGACTATTTCAATTTGATAAGAGCCATTTATGACAAAATTTACTTCTATTTTTTTGGTACCAGGGATCAAATTCATGACGTTGTGCTTGCCAGGCAGATGCGCATGCTGCTGAGTGATAGCCCCAGCCAAAATCTACTTCTGATGTTGTATTAAATGGGGAAAATCTGAAAGCTTTCCTTCTAAAATCAGGAACAACGTAAGGAAGTCCTCCATCACTACTCGCATTCAACACAGTACATACTTGAAAGGTTATTAAGAGCAAATTAGGAAAGAAAATGAAATAAAAGGGATGTGTATAGGAAACAAAAAAGTCAGATTACCACTATTTGCAGATAACATGATTCTCTACATAGGAGAGATATAATCCACTAGAGAGAAAATCCACTAGAGAAATAATCCACTAAAAATTCTTAGTAATTAGAATTAATAACCATATTCAGTAATGTGGCAAGATGCAAAATCAATATACAAAAATCATTAGTGTTCCTGTATACTAATAATGAATTCATTTGAAAAGAAATTAGGGAAAAATAGCTGGGTGTGGTGGTGCATTCCTGTAATCCCAGCACTTGGGAGGCTGAGGCAGGAGAACTGTTTGCAAGTTCGAGACCAGCCTGGGGTACAAAGTGAGTTAAGAAGCCAGTTCGAACTGTGTAGCAAGATCCTGTCTCAAAAAACAAAAAGACATTGAAGACATCATGGTACAGTCTCTGTGTAAGACTACTACACATTACCTACTAGGCTCAGTATTTCCTGTTTATCCCTCCAGATCTACTCTTCCCTTAGTTCTTTGCCCCATGCCCTTAGAAGCTGATATCAATGGACATCAGGGGTTTCCTGTGTTTTCTTTCTGATTGGAGGCCAAAAGGAACCATCAGCAGGCCACTAAAAGATATGAAGAGAATGAAGTTTGGTATTTTCACTAGCAGCTCCCTAGGGTGGGTTGCTCTGAGTTAGTAAAATCACATTATCAGTGAACTTTGCAGGTCCTACCAGGTACCCCTTTCTATATATCTATTATGTTTAGGTTCTGCTGCTGATTTCATCTTCTTGTCCCACTAGGCCTGTGCATGGAAATGATACCCCATGGTTGCTTATTCTGGGTGTCTGCATCACTGCTTGGTTTCTCTGAAACTTATGTCTTTGCAAACTCCTTTAAGGTTGCTTATCTGTTTGCTTCGGTTTTAGGAATTTATTCTGTGTATGTTTATAATGACATGTACCAGGGCGATCTGTTGCAACAGTGTAATTTCTAATATAGGTGAAATGTTACAAATATAACATCAACAGAGGACTGCAAAAAACAACGTGACTACACAGTAGAATATTACGAAGCTATACAAAAATGAGTCATTAGATACACTATGCAATACTCTCAAGTAAAAAAGTGTGGATAAAGCATGGTACCAAACAAGGAATACTGTGTGCTCCATTTGAGTAACAAAAATAATGTATATGCATTTGCATATACAAAGAGGACCAAGGAAGAGTTAGTGGAACTGCTAAACGAGTCAATACAAAACGATGGAAAAAGTTGTCAAATTATAAAACTTCTGTAAAGTGCCAACTGGTAAAATTCTTGCATAATTTGATTTCTTAACATGATCCCTTTATGGAATTTTTCCTACTAGCATAAATTAGAGTTATTTCTTATTCAGGACTGCATGTTCAAAAACCATGCATGCTGATAATTTATTTTAAACATGATTACTTTATTATTGAAAGGAGCTTCAGCTCCTTTATCTATAGGGTTTACTGTTGTCACAAAAGTAGCAGTATGACTGCTCCAGGATCTTTGTTTCCATAAAGATGTGACTTACTAAAAAGAAATGGGATGTGAGAAGACTGTCGGGAAGTTGGTGAAGAAACTGGGAGAATATTGTTGGGAGAAGAATTCACTTAACAGTTAAATCAGTCATTTTATGCTCTTTAAAAGAATAAAAAATAGAAAGACATTTTTGAATGTGGTTTTCATACTCCTGACATGGGCACTCCTGTTCAAAAGTTCAACAAGACACAGGGCACTCACTCACCTTTCTTGAAACTGTGCTTGGGCAGATTCCTCTGCAACGAGAGTCTCATACTCCTCAGCTGCAAACCTGTCCCAGTCTGAGGGCTCGGGCCCATCGTTCTCAACATCCTGGTCAGAAAGAATGTACCGGACGCAAGTCAGCAAAGACAGAACCGGAATAGGTCATCACAAACATACACTGCAGAGGACTTATCTGAAAGTGTGTCAACACCTTAAACAAGGTGTTAGGTATCTCCTATGATTTCCTACACTTCAAATCACAAAATTATAATAAAGTGTTTTGCAGCTAGATTTTTCATATGTCCAGAGTCTTTTTTGGTACTAGGGAATCAAAGCTGGAGGTTCTTTACACCTGAGCTACATTCCTAGCCCTTTTTTTGAGACAAAGGCTTGCTAAATTATCTAGGCCACATTTAAACTTGTGATCTGTCTGCCTCAGCCTCCAAAAATGTTGGGATTACAGTTGTGTACCACTGCACCTGGGTTTAAATCAAGAGGTGTTTTTGTTTTTCTGAAGCCTGATGACTGAATTTATTTATGGCCTTATCACTGAGCTATGTCACCAGCCCTCTTTTTAACTTTGAAACACAGTCTTGCTAACTTGTTAAACTGCCTTTTTTGTCTTGAATTTTCAATCTTGCTGCTTCAGCCTCCCAGGATGGTGGATTATAGGTGTGTACCGCCATGCCCAGGCCATGTCTAGATTCTTTAGCTTGTAATGAGACCTTTTTCCATTTCCTTCCCCCAGCACTTTGGAAAGCAGCCATCTGGAATGACTGTGGTCTGTAATCACCCACCCAAAATTTAGAAATTTGTATTGTTTCTTTAAAAGCCACTTCAGTTGCCATATCACTTGTGATATCTTCCTGCAAACAGCCTTTCTCTCCCCAAATCATTTCTTTCTATATGCTTTGGTTGCCACCTTTTGCTCTTTGTCAGTTCCATATACTCAGTAACTCTTCAACATAGCACTGAGAATTTATCAAGCATTTTCTTTTTTTTTCTTTTTGGTACTGAGGATCAAACTCATGCTTGTCAGAAAGGCACTTATGCCGTTGATCTAAATACCTGGCGAGCACTTTCTTACTAACAATCCTCTTCACATATATGAACAAATATAGGTAACTGGCACCTCATATAAAGTGAAAGTTAAAAGTGGAACATAAAATAAATGAAGGAGATGAAGGCCATACATTTTTATTCAGCAGTGGGCAATGTCTTGGGTTATAGGTTTTCCAGGCAAAATGTCTTCCCACATTGAGAATGAGTGAGTACTGCCCTGGGCTTAGGGTCAGTTATACCTAGAAGAACAGGAGTATCTTGGCCATATAGTGGTCACATGATTTCTTACTGTGTATAATCAGTTTTAAGACCCTCTCTTCTTTACCCTTTTAATATGCCTGAAATTGCCATGCATTTCAGATGTATAATCAGCATATATCCATATATATATATATATATATACATATATATATATATATATATGCTTTTCTTTGCTTAGAGGTATATAAGATAATAGAGCTTGATGAATTCAAGAAAATGTATCTGGGCAAACATCTATAATGTTGGCACTCAGGAGGCTGAGGCAGGAAGATAGCCATAAATTTGAGGTCAGCCTGGGCTATATAGAGAAATTGTATCAAAATACCAAAAAATTTTTTCAGTGAAATATAATGTTGACTTTAGCTGGCAATAAAGCACCTTGCTGTTTCCCAAGGTCATCTGCAGAGCATTTGTTCTTAGAAAGTTATCTTCATATTTTTATTGTTATTTAGGTCAAACCATTATGCAACACATGGAAGAAAAACAAAAACTGCAAAAGCTTCTTGTACTGTCACTCAAGTGAAACGATTCTTTTCTATCAACATAATTTTTACTTTTTAAACCAGGGAATGGGAAGAGCAAACAGTAATACTGTTTTTGTTTTGGACATGAATTAAACATTTTTTATTTTACTTTTGGTTTTTGAGGCAGAGTCTTTCTATGTAGCTCAGGCTAGCCTTGAACTCCAGGCAATCCTCCTGCCTCAACTTTCTGAGTCCTGGGATTATAGGTGTGTGCCACACCCCTGACTGGACATGGATTATGTTTCCAGGTTTATTGAGGGTCTACAGGTTTTTTGGCAGGGGAAGGGTGCCCATCTTTATTCATATGCAGAACAATATTTAAAACTGAAGCCCCTGGACAGCAATCATTAACACCTGAAAAATGCTCTGTTATCTGAAAGTATCTATTGTGGAGAGCTTTTAGTTTTTACTAGGGAAAGTTATTTACCCAGAATCCTGAAAATGCACAGTAAATTAAGTCAAGGCCAGTACAGATATGCCTACTAATATATTTTTAAAAGAAGGACAAATTTTTTTAAAAGTAATATACAGCACTGGCTGGCCTTGAAGCATGGTGATCCTCCTGCCTCAGCTTCCCAAGTGCTGGGATGACAGATGTGCATGGCCTGATGAAGGACAGGCCACTCAGGCTTCTGGAGATTAGTGATATGGACAGACATGCTCTCAATCTTCTTTCTCTCTTTGAATCAAACCTAGAGCTTCCCTACTTTATAATCTCTTTTCAGTATATGATGAAATATTTCAAATGTTATCTCTTTAAATTCTAAGATTTTCAGAGTGCATTTTAATGTGTCACTCAACCCAATATTGCAGTTCTTAAAGTTAAACTTGTTCTGGTACCTTCTGGACTGCAAAGGGATCTCTCTGTTCATGGTCCAAGTATTTTTCCAGATTAAAGAAAGTGTCATAGAAGATGTGAGCCATTCGGCACCTCTTCAGATCTCGTAGAGTTATTTTACCTGTATAAAAACAAATACACCTGATAAGTTTTATTTAGAGCTGTTTTGGCAAGAGAAAAAAAAACTTTCACTGATGTCTAAAAGTACAAATGTAATACCTACAGTAAAAATCAAGATAAAATTCACCATTTTAAGCTACAATTGAGTGGCTTTTAGGATGCTTGTGATGTCTTGCAAACATCACTATGATCCAATTCCAAACATTATTACCCCAAAGAAAGCTCTGTATCCATCAAGCTGTTTGCCCACCTCCTCTCAACTCCCAGCTCCTGGCAATCACTAATCTGTTTTCTGTCTCAAGAAAACAAACCAACCCAGTTTCTTCAACAGCAGATTTTCCATTATTGCTGGTTTTAAATCAATAGCTAAGAAGAAACACTTGGCTGTACTTGAAAAGCCTGTAAGTAAAGCTTCAGAAAATTAACTCAGGGAAATCTAGGATTCCACTGTCATGCACAGGTAGAAACTGCAAATTGCTGTTCATTTGTTCTCACCATCACAGGCTGGCTTCACCAGGTCCAGCATCTGGCACAGCAGATCATGAAACGGCAAGGGCTCAATGCCCATGGCTTCCATTCGTTCACACTGCTCCTCGTAGAAGTACTCCAGCTCATACATGGACAGCACTCCATCTCCATCCATGTCCATGCAGCGGAACCAGTACTCAATGCTAGAAGATAAGGGTGCCCATTAGCACTGTTCTGGCAAAGGTCCTTCATTCATCTAGATCTGCCATCACCCATATTTCTTTTAAATAAATGTACACGTATGGGGCTGGAGATTTAGCTCAGTGGCATAAGCACTTGTCTGCAAGCACAAGGTTGTGAGTTCAATCCCCAGTACAAAAAAAATTTACATGTATGTGTACTTTAGACTTTCACATGGTTTAACTCTTATTTTCTCATCCTAGAATCAACCCTTTTCAACACCTGATTATTTTGCTTTTTCTCTTTATATTTTCAGAAAATAGCCCTTATTTAATCCTCTTTGATTTCTAAGAACTCTGTCTGATTTCACACTATGAAAGGTGAGGTTTTAACTCTTTTACTATTTTCATCCACTTTACCTGCATGCTATTCCTATTCTTTTAATATAAGCTGCTCCATGTTTACATTTTATGACTTTACATTTTTCTTTTAACTCTTATTTGCTTAGTTCTCCATGTACTTATTGTATTGGTTATTAATTCAGCCAGCAAATCCTGTAGCTGGCCACGACCACACAGTGCCATCAGGTGTTCTAGTGACTGCATGTGCCACTACGTTTGGCTGAGATTTTTCTCTTGAATGAGCTCCTACTGCTGTGATCCATCTACCATGAGGTCTTCACCCGAGATGAGCTATAGCAGTGTCATGCCTTCAACCTCCAAACCTGGGAATGGAATTAATTTCTTTTCTTTATAAATTCCCCCCTCCAGTTTAGACTCAACATATGAGGGGCTGATACAGTACCCACACATTCAGCTATACACTGCTCCCCAGGCCAGAGGCACTCTATTCTGTACACTCTAGAGAATGAGGCATCATTTTTATGCCAGGGTGGAGGATATGATCTGGAGATCAACTGTTTCTTTAAACAAATTTTCTATAAACTGCTATTTGTTGGCAGCATCTTTACCCTGTCCCCATTTCTAAGGTTCATGATACCCACCAAGTTCTAAATGTGTAGAGGTTTGTTGAGTATATCTGGCTACTTGTTGATGTTTTCTGTCTGCTGGCTTAGGATTCAGGCATTCTACTAAATTTATCTGCTTTCCAGTTTCTGAACCTCGTTGCTTCACCTACTTTATTACTACAGGTTTATTCCTTTAAAAAACATTTTTACTGGCATTGCAATGGGGTTTCAGAGAGGAAAGAAGAGTACTGTGTGGTTAAATTGGTATCTTGACTCAGAAACATACTCACTCTTTATTATAGCTTCTTTGTCATTACACCACTGTTACAGCACCATCTATAGTTATGTAATCAATCATGGAATATGAAACCACGAACATTAACTGGTAAAAAGGAAGATTTTTTAAAAAGTCACTATGTCATGGTACAGTACAATTCAAGGGAAGGATCAAATATATCTTTGGTTCATTTCACATTTGTAGATGTAAAACCATATTAAAAACCATAAAAGATCTGAAACCATAGTAAGAACCAGCATACATATTATAGTTTTGAATAATCTCTCAGGGAAAGAACTAAATTGTGACTGTTAATTGTTGTAAATCCCTCTAAGGTCTTTGTGTACCTTTCCTGAGAAAGATAAATTTTACATTATTGTAACACATTATAACAGGTAATAACTGACAAAATTCCTTTCAGCCATATAGTTTACAAACTGTACCAAGTTGATGTTTAGTGTTACTATTAAAGAACGGAAAGGACATTTACTAGATTCAATCAATAGGAGATAATAGTTGGGCCATGGTGTATTCCAGTCATATCTATTCCCAGAGTTATAAAAGGGGCAGAATACTGCCTCATTTTGAAACAATTCCTGATCTTGTGAAAAACTTTTTAACCCTCATAAGCTGAGGATTAACTACAAGTGCCAGTATCTAGTGAATTTCCTGATGTCTTGAAATTCCTTAAGGGAAAAAAAAAGTGGAAAGCAAAACTTGATTTTGACAAAGACCTAACTGGACTTAAGTGAAGGGCAACTCGTTTTAGTAAGAAACAGAAACTAAAGTACTTTAGGTGCTTGCATTTTCAATTAAGAACTAAGGTGAGCGAGCCTCTATGCAGTAAGTCAGACTGAAGCATATACTTCAGTTTTCTGCAATAACACATGGGGAGAAAGAAAATGCAGAGCCAGACACATTACCTGATGTCTGCCAAAAGGAACATGATAGCAGCCTTTAAATATATGGAAGATATGGTAGCTGAATCACATATAATTTTGTGAGACAGAGAGAAGATAAAGATCAGTGTATAAAAGAGAGGTGATGTTAGGTGTAGATCTAGCAAAATGTAACTGCTTCAGTCAGTGGTTACTAGTCCTTGGCAATTTAGAAACACGGGGCTGGAAAAGTAAACATCTGTAGGATATATTTAAATGGATTTTTTTTTTTTTTTTTTTGCAGGGAGGCCGACATAAGAGTTTGCTATTTAGGCGGGCTTAAAATCAGTATGTATCTCAGGCAGGCCTTGAACTCATCGCACTCTTCCTGCCTCAGCCTTTCCCAGTGGTGGGTTCACACATGTGCACCACCACACTTGGTTGGAATTTTCTTATTGTATGTGCTGGATACTCTCTAAAGTTTCTTCCAATGCAAGTTTTCTATTTTTTTCCTTAGCAAAAGTTAATGTATCTTCTCAGATTCTAAAAGTAACTGTATTCAGTAAAGGAAAATTAGAAAACAGTGCATGGTAGAAGGAATAACTATTCAGAGAGAATCAATGTTTAATTTTGCTATATTTACTATCAGTTTTCAAAGGACAGTTATATCAATGGTAAACTGTATTTGTACAATTGTAGACACAAATAAGATTATCAATTCCCCTTGTCCTTTGGCTGGATAAAATTAAGGTCTGGACCAGTGACTTTTTAAAAAAAGATCCCTGATACATACTTGTGTAAGCTTTTCAAGAAGACAGGTACATCAACTCCATTATTGCTTAGGGAGTAACTAAATGTGTATTCCTTTGTATATTAAGTATGTATCTTTTAGCAGTCCTATCTTATAGACACTAGCCTGCTCTTAGATATAACAGAAGTGAATGAAATAACTGTTGGAGATGACACTTAAACTAAGAAACAGGATGTGATAAAAAGCAGAACTTTATAGGACATACCAAAATAAGGTTTGCTAAGAGTCTGTCCATGAAAAACAATCACTTTCAAAAAATTTCCTGTGTCTACCCCTGCTGGGTGGGGCCAGGTGCAGGAAAGACTTGAGATCTTAAATGTATATGGTATTTTACCCAGCACTTACCACACTTTAGTGAGTGTATTACTACTTTCATGAAACTCTTTTCTTCAAATGTTTTTCAGAAACCAGAAACCTGATTTCTGCAAAGCACTGCCTATTAAATTTTCTTAAATATGAATTTCATTTTATAGCTTGAAATGATTGGAAGAACAAGATGAAATCATCTGGAAAGGCATATTTCTTTTTCAGAAGTTTAAACTGAATTTAATTTTCTTTAGTTGATACGAGAATATGCAGGCTTCCTATTTCTTCTTGGGGAAATTTTATTGTGATTCTTAAAGGAAATTGTTCTATTTCATTTAAGATACCACATTTACATGTATATATGGTATCTATGGTATTCTTTGTTTTTTTTTTTTTTTTTTTTTTTTTAATCGGTACTGGGGATCGAACTCACGACCACCTGCTTGCAAGGCAGGCACTTATGCCACTGAGCTAAATCCCCAGCCCCGGTATTCTTTTATAATATTTCAAATATATAATACCTGTGAGTCATCCTTTTTGATTCAGGGATTTTTTTTTTGGTCTTTTTGAATCAGGTTTCAGTATGAAATTCAGGCTGGCTTTGAACTCACTTCGTAGCCCAGGCTAACCTTGAACTCACAACCATCCTCCTGTTTCAGCACCTACTGAGTGCTGGATTACAGGTGTGGGCTACCACACCTGGCCATGTGGATTATTTAGAAGTAGTTTTTAAATTTCTAAGTATGTGGGGATTTTCCAGTTATTTTTCTCCTACTGATTTCTATATTAATTCCATTTTGGTCAAAGAAAATACTTTTTATTATTTCAAGTCTTTGCTTTTAAAAACTCTACTGAAATGTATTTCACATATATGATTCTTCCATTTAAAACATTGTTTGAATTCATTGTTTATGAAGATATGGACAACTGTTTTGAAGAAAACAAGAGACATTATGGTAGCCACTGTTGATTTCCTGTTGTCCTTATATCGAAATCTTGTGTTGCTTGCATTGTGTTCTGATCTGCTTTATTGTTTGTTTTATTCTCCTTAAAATAAAAAAAAATTAAAAACAAAACAACCGGAGTTAAATAAACCCCCCTAGTTAATTCTGGTATATTTCATCATCTCCAAAACACACTAGAGCAGCACTCATTTTTTACTGTTCCTGGGCTAAATTTGCCTATTTTGGACAATACATATATAGCTATGCATTGCTTAACAAGGATTTATTCTGGGAAATGTGTTACTGAGCAGTTTCACTGTGTGAACATCACAGTGTATTCTTAAACTAAGAATACTATCATGTTACTAGGTAACATGGTTTTATGGGACCACTGTCATGTACATGGTCTGCTGCTGACTGAAATGTCATTATGCAACACATAATTATAAACACACTCATACCATATGTGGTCTTCCTTTTCTTTTCTTTTCTTCCTTCCTTCCTTCCTTCTTTCTTCATGTGGTCTTCCTTTTCTTTTCTCTTCTTTTCTCTTCTTTTCTTTTCTTTTCTTTTCTTTTTTTCTTTTGTAATGGTACTGGGGATAAAACCCAGGGCCTTGTGCACGCAACGCAAGAGCTCTACCACTGAGCCACATCCCCAGCCTTACTAATATTTTCCAGATTCAACTATGCTGCCAGATTTGGTAGATACGCCTGTACTTAAAATTTATAAAAGATCTGGGGATGTAGTTCAATCATAGAGTACTTGCCTAGTATGCTCTGGGTTTAGTTCTCTGAGCTACCATTAAATAAAAAAAAAAAATCCAACCTCTTTACCCTAGCAATTCTTGTATTTCTGGGAATTTATTCTGCAGAAAAAAAAACAGCGGATATATTGGGGCCGGGGATTTAGCTCAGGGGTGTAAGTGCCTACTTGGCAAACGTGAGGCCGTGAGTTTGATCCCCAGCACAAAATAAAACAAAACAAAAACCTAAATAGTGAATATAACAACTATTCAATTGGATATTAAATATTACAGGATATTTAGGTGAACATTTCATGAAAATTTTGGTGTACATTAATTAAGACTTAAACAAGCTGGGTACAGTGATGCATTCCATAATCCCAGCTATTCAGGAGGTGGAGGCTGGAAAATGGCAAGTTGGTAGCCAGCAATGCAATTTAGTGAGACTTTGTCTTAAAAAATGAAAAGGGGCTGGGATGTAGCTTAGTATGTGAAGATAGCCCTGAGTTCAATCCCTAGTACTGCCCCAGGTGTTTTAGGGTTTTTTTTTTCCTTTTCTGGGTGTTAGAATTACTAGTATTGAAATTATTTTCTTCTGCTCACCCATATTTTCTAAGCTCCATACAATAGACAATAAATTCCTACTACAAAGTGCACAAGTTACTTTACTATGTAATAAGCTGCTCCAAGAAATCATAGCTATTTTTCTTTCTTCCCCAATGATTTATAAACAATAATCCAACATTTAGATAACTTTTTGCAACATTTACATAACAATATGGAACCAGCTGAGTCAGTTACACCTGCCAGCAGCATTGGAGTCTGCATCCCTACCTCCCTTTGACACCCAGCACAAACTGTACATCTATATACACTGAACTTTGTGTTATACAACTTAACGCTAAAAAGAGATAGACCTAGAGATTTGGTTTAATATGAGACAGTAGTAGAGACAGACATATAAATCTACAACTAAAAATCAAAGTATCTTTGAAAATACTCAGGAAAGGACAATGATCCCAACTAGGAGAACGAGGATACAATTTTGTACACTAGTCACACACAACTTGCTTTTCCTTCCTCCTCCAATTTATTAAGAACCATTAAGATCATAAGAGAACTGAAGTTCATGTATCTATTTCTATATTCTGAATAACGCTTACTAATTCTACTTTTTCTCCAGGCCAGCTTACATGCCACTTCACTTATGTTGCTGTGGGGAGACAGCACTTTCTTGATATGTGATGACTGGATTCCAGGTCCATTTTCTTTTCTACTCTATGTAGGCAGAAACTACATGTAGGTCTAACCTATCTTAGTATCCCTTTGTTGAGTCAGCTTCACTAGGATACATGTCAGGACGCACGTCAGGTATTTAACATTTTGGCAAAGAAAATTTAGAAGTCCTACCTGGTGGGGTTCCTTTTGTCTTCCTCAGATATCAAAAACCAAACAAAATCTGCATAGCTCATTCTTCCCTCTTTCTGCACTGTTTTTCCTCTGAAAAAAACCACAAGGTTATAATACTTCCTAAGCAATTAATAAAGTAACATTTGGTTTTAGCAACGTAGTTTAAAAATTTTTAAAAATCAGAATGTGTAATTATTTCATAAAGGACAACCCTTCTGGATCTATCTAATTTTTAAAGGCTTTTGAGGTAAAATGGGAAAATGCACAAAGAAGAAGAAAAAAAAATCTGCAAGTGACAAAATCAAACATTGCTTCCTGTATTTATATACAAAATAAAGAAGTACTGTCTTGTATTAACCATAACTGTACGTTTTGTAAGGTGTCATTTGAGCCAGTAGCAGTACCAAATCTAGAAGAAAGGCTTGCAAAAACGGGAGTGTTTATGGAATCACTTATACAGTGATACCTTGGTTGTCAAACTCAATTTCGTCCAAATTCATGTCCAGACACCAAAAAGTTTGAGAACTGAACATATTTTTCTGTAAGAAATAATGGAAAGCCAAATAACTGGCTGTAAGGGCCAAAATTTTCACTTGTAAATTCATTTTTCCAGGACTTTAACAACTTTCACAATGACTTTTCTCTTTAACTCTATTGTGGTTCTCACTGTTTTCCTGTGGCTGCTAGTATCACTTTCTTTGGAGCCATGGTTGCAATATTTTACACAAATAAAGCGCCAAAAATGCACAATGACCAATGTTTTAATGCATCAATGCAAGCACTGTATGTTGTCTGGGTGAGTGGGAGAGATCAACATGTTACCCATTGTGTCTGCGAGATGCAATGTGTGACTCATCTTGGCTGTACAGGTTTTTTCAAGTTAGATTTTTTTTTATCTTTTTATGATTTTCAGTTTGACTATGAGCAAAGTTATGAACACTGAGCAGATCTTTTTCAAACTTTGCTGTTTGAGTAGTGGAAAGTTCAAGCAAGGAGCTGTTCGACAACATAGTAACCAGGTTTTAAACTTTTTCTTACCTTGTTACTGCCCCAGAGAATATCCTTTCGATTATTCTATTTGATGAAGCTAAATGCAAATAAGAATTTACAAAACTGGTTACAAAAATTTCTTGTAGGCAATATTTCTGGAAGATTTATTTTCATTTGCTATAAACTAAATCATAACAGTCTTCTATCATAAGAATATGAATGGGTCTTATGTAATATTTATACTTTTTAGAATAAAGTAACTTCGTATCTATCAATTAGTAATTTTAAAAAGAACAAGCAAACAAATGTGCTAATATCTGTCCTTAAATGGTTGAGCTCTAAATTTATTTTGAACATCCTGATAACTAAGACAAAAAAAATACAGAATTTGTATTGATCTTGTTACTCAGTAAGACAAGACAAATTTTCCTATAAAACAAAACAAATTTTATCATAAAATTAAGTTCAAGGGTGGAACTGATAGTTCATTTCTTAAAACAATGTAAAATGAAACAAAGCAAAGAGAATACTTTCAAATAATTTTACAAAGATACCAAAGCATACCATAAACCTACTTTTCCTTATTCCCATTTTATGACTCCATGATAAATATAAAACTTTTAGAAATCCCATCAGTAAATTTTAGTTTAGAAATCCCATCAGATAGTATGTTCCTTTTAATGATAAATCCTACAGAACATATCACAGTGCACCTCACTGTAGATTCAAAACAGCCAATGGCTGTAGTCTAAAAAGAAAAAAAAAAAGGAGTTGCCTACGAATAAAAGATTTGTTCTTCAAAAAGCAGCTCAGTGAATTGACATGCACATTACAGTTGCTGGACCAGCTGTGAAGTCATCAGGGAGGTAGCAGCTGTCAGCATCTAATGCTCCTTGGAGTTACAGTCAACATAAAGGATAATTAGTTTGGCTGAAGAAAGTTAGGAATATGTGTGGAAAGCCATTTCTGGCTGCACACTAATGTTTATGCAGAGATCCTCCATACTTGTTTTGGGACTGTTTTATGGGGCTAATTTGTACGACCTAGCTAGATAAAAGGGGGCCTGGTATAGGAAACACAAGGGTATTAAATCCCAAACCTAAGCACATTTTAAAAAAGACATTTTAAACTTTGGAATCTTTTAGCCTCTTAAAACTGAAGATCATGTTATTCAATGTCGTATCATTGCACACAGCTTAGCGAGTGGATAACTTTATAGAGTTGAGTGGCCCTTTTATTTCTGCAGCCCTAGATACCTGTTTCTCTGGACTTCATCCCATTAACATGGGTCTAGGAGTGGCTATGTGAGTACACGCAGTATTTGGGGACTTGGGGATTGGCGCATGTACAGATGATCTGTTCATGGTAATGAAAAGGTACGTAACTAACAAGGCTGGCTTGATATTCCTGCTGTTCTAGTAATGGAAAGTTATGAGTATTTGAAGAAGGGAGATAACAGTACTAATGTGTTTAACAAGTGAGTGCATCTGAGTATTTCTCCTTAGTGTCTGCATGGCATCTGCAAATTTCAAAGAGGTAACTGTCTCTTAAACATGCAAAGCTCTATGAAAGTTGACATCATATACAAGGAGGCTTTTCTTAAGACATGTATCAGTAATAGATATACAATATAACAGAAACTAAATTCAGTGTATTTATTTAAGATTTTTACCTTGCAAAGATAAAGCTGAATTTTTAAAATGTTGAGAAGACATTTAAGGATAAAACAGGAACAATCTTTTTTTTTTTTTTTTTGTCTTTTTCCTTTTTATCGGTACCGGGGATCGAACGAGACTGCCTGCTTGCAAGGCAGGCACTTATGCCACTGAGCTAAATCTCCAGCCCCATAGAACAGGAACAATCTTACAGAAGTACAATGAATTTATGTGTCTTGGTGCTTGGTAAACAATATTAAATCAATTTGCAATAGGTTCTACTTTTACTTTCAGGCAAGAGTGGAGAAAATGCATAATGCCCATGTGATACTTAATTTTTTTTTGGTGCCGGGGATTGAACTCATCATGACCTTGCACTTGCCAGGCAGTGCTTATGTCACTGAGCTAAATCCCCTGCAATTTTTTATTTTCTTAAAAAAGAAAACACATGAAATTCACTTCTAGATAAATGATATTTCTGGAATTAAATCCAAAAAGTATTTTCATCCATGGCTTTTATGGAAATAATGTTAAATGAGAAAGTCTGTAAAGGTGCATATGCATATTATTACACATACAGATTCACATCCTATTCAACTCATCATCATAAAAACCACTACAAAAGTTGCTGCTTTTTCAAAACTAAATTGTGATTGCTTACTTACATCTGAGCTCTCAATAAAAAAGTTAAATTACGTTTGTTAATTCCCACCTAAAAATTCTTAGCTTTGTAAAGAGATCTGATTAGATATATAATTTAAGAAATGGAAATTTCTCATAATGAGTGGAAATGATTTACATCATTCTTCGTTTAAGTCTTAGCATCTATAAAATCACTCACCCTGGTCATTATATCGAGAGAGATCGGCTTGACTGATGTACAGGTCATGATCACTATCTAGTTCCCAGAATTTACAATAAATAACATAGAAATGTTCATAAGAGAAGTAATCTGTGATTTGATTTATATCTTCCTCTTCTTCCAAAAGGGCTAGAGTCTGAAATGGTATGAAAAAAGGAATTGATTTTAAAATTATAAACAACCAGCAACCAGCTTTGGGTACTGCGGAGTCTACAAATTTTTGTTTTAAACTGAATTGAAAATGTTGTTTTTCATATATACATGCCTACTACCTTTAATGTTTTTGTGTGTGTGAGGCAATAAGCAGTTAGAATGAACAGAAAACAGGGAAGGGACTTCAACTTGAAGAGGGACTTAATGGAACTTCAGCTCTGATGAAAAGGATGAGATTGACCCTCATTGTTGGAGAGAACATAAAAGCAGAGAAAGGGCAGGATGGGGGAGACCATCACAATGGAGGCTGCAGCTGTTAGCAGTCCCTCGACTAGAAAGCACAGAACAATTAAATGACAGTCTCAATACATGGTCATAAACTACCTGCTCCTAACTTTTCAGTTACATGAGCAATATTAAGACTGCACATCCACATAGTGGTTGCTTTTATAATGAAATTTAAGTTTACCCCCATAAATGCATGGGGGTTTGGAGTCAAACGTCTTGTGGGTAGAGCTGAAGGGCCTTGAATTGAAAGTAAACTAAGTCTCCCTTAGCTTACTCTGCATCCTTACCAGAACCAATAGTTTTGAACCCATTCTACAGTCAGTCAAATTATCATATAAGTAGGTAAATAAATGGAAGAATTTTCAGAAACAATTCAGAAAGCAATATAAAAGAGATAGAAATAAGATCAGATGTATCAATAATAACAATAAAGATAAATGAGCTAAATTTCCTTAATACAATATATATATATTTTTTTTTGTCTTTTTCCTTTTTATCAGTACCAGGGATCGAACTCACGACTGCCTGCTTGCAAGGAAGGCGCTTGTGACACTGAGCTAAATCTCCAACCCAGTAAAATATTTTTAATTAAGTATCAAAATAAAGCTCCCAAGTTGGGCCTGGTGGGGTGCACCTATAATCCCAGTTCTCCAGAGGCTAAGTAAGGCAGGAGGATCACCACAAATTTGAGGCCAGCCTGGGCTACAAATTGAGTTTAAGGCCAGTCTGTTCTGCATAATGAGACCTTGTCTCAAAAACAATAACCACCACCACTACCACCACCACCAAAAAACTAAGGACCCAAAACAGATTTAGCTGTATGTTATCTATGAGAGATAGCCTAAAATAAAAAGAGTAATAAAAAGGCAGGGAAATATATACTAGTGAAATGTTGACAAAAAGGGAAACATGTAGCAAAATAAATAGAAAATAAAAAGGATGCACAATGAAAAAGACAAAGGACAAAAAGGACTGTTTTGTAATACAAATGTATTACTCTGATTAAATTTTTTTAAAATGTACACATTGGGAAAACAAAACTTATTGGCAAATTGAAAACAGCATAAATTATTAATTATGGTAAAGTGCACTGGAAGATTATGCAGTAAGTAAAAATTATAGTCTACATACAAACAAAGGAAATCTATGATGAAATTACAAAATATAGGTTACATGATTACACACACCAAGAACTACGTAGCATCCTAAAAGCATACAAAAGAGCCTATGCTGCAATACATACAAAAATGGTACTAGCTCTATTAAGGTAATAAAATATAGCTCTTCTTCTAAAATACCCTTTAATATGTAGAGTACAGAATACCTTTAATAAAATATATCTAGAAGCAAGGAGCCATCATTTTTACCCACAGCTGTGTCGTGAACAAGAAAGAGAATTTACTGTGTTGGTGAGTGTGTAAGTGAAAGTATAAGCAGGCAGGATCTATCAAACTAAAATCGCACATATCATTTGGGCCAGGATATTTCCTCCAGTGGTTTATTTTAAAGAAATCTTATGTTTGCATCATAAGAGTGTAAGTATAAGGATGTATAGGAGTATAAGTATAAGGAGTATAAGTATAAGGAAAGTATAAGGATGTTTGCTATCACTGTAATAGAGAAAATCTGAAAATGACCTGAACATCAATAGAGGCATATATAAATACCATAAGTCATGCAATATTTATACAGAAGTTAGACATGACATAGTTTTTTTTTTTTTGTCTTTTGGGACAGGGTCTCGCTATGCAGTTCAGGCTGGCCCTGAGCTCACTTTGTAGCCCAGGCTGGTCTCGAACTTGAAATGATCCTCCTGCCCAGCCTCCCCGAGTGCTGGGATTACAGGCATGAGCCACCACACCTGGCTACATGACATAGATTTTTATGACAGGAATGTTAAGTGAACAGACCAAATTAACAAAATAGTAAGTATAATTCCATGTATTAAAAAATCCCCTTAAAATATCAGTCATACCAAAAAACAAAACAGCAAAATTGTATATTACATGTACACATTCACCGGGGACTACAACTACAGATGATATGGGTTTCCTTTGCAAAAGGCAGTGAAATGGCAGGATAAAGAGATAGACAGAAACTTCTGCTTATTTACTACTTCGCATGTCTCATATTATTTGAATGTTTTATGAGTATTTGTTTATATACCAAGAGAGATACTAAGGAGAGAGGCAGGGAAGAACAGGGAGAGAAAAAACAAATCTCTTCTTTAGGAAGAGAACATTTAAGATCTACCTCAAGTTCAGCCATCCTCTTGCTGTATGCTCTTGTAGAAGACACTGAACTATATTTGAGCCTAACCTTTTATCATTAGTAAAAACAAACTGATTATAATAATGATTCAAAAACTACAAATGAAAATGTGTTTCAGGACCAATGTGCTTTATGACCTCTCTTGAGCTGATAGGGAATTACTGCCATCTTGGCCCAGCCCACAACACCTACTGAGTATCTAGGTAGACATCAGGTGTTCAATAAATATCAATAATGACTGTGGTGATGACTGTTCATTTTAGAGTAACAAAATGTTTGTGTCTCCACCATGGACTGCTAATTTTGCCAAGTCTTCATTACCTTGCCTGTCTCCAATGAAGACAGGAAGAAATAAAGAGTAATGAAGTTGTTTTATTAGCCCAAACTTCATTTAGTCAGATTCATTTAAAAGAAAGCATTTCTTTTCCTTCCAAGTGTGAACAACTCCGTTTCTTCTGGTTTAGAGATGCTTAAACAATCAGATATGAAGATTATCTCAGTGAAAAGTACCTATTAATGGTCAGTATTTTCCTTGCCATTTGATAAAATACATAATTAAATGAAATGTATTTTTTCTTAAAAAATTTTTTTTTTTAGTACTCTTCTCCAGCAGTAGAGTATTCTTCCATTTATTTTGCAAGGCTATTCGCAACCTGGTCCCAAACCACCCTGCTGACCTATCTCTGGTCACTTTCCCAGGGCTTCTGGGCCCTTAATACCATTTGGCAGTTCTTGGACATAATGCTTTCATGCTTCTGGCTGTTGCTTATGCTGCTTCTTTTTCTGGAATCCTCTATTATTTAAAAAAAAAATCTGGCAAACTCCTGATGTTCTCCCTGCTCAAAATCATACCTGTCCTTTTGTTGAGGCCTCCTCTGCACCTTTTACATACATCTTCAGAGATCATCAAGTCTGGTGTGGCTGTCTGGGTACTTTTTTCTTTTCTCTACAGTGTATGCCCTCAGGCAGAGATTCCTTGTCTCCCTCATTCCCCTCCATATCTGGAGTCTCATTAGAGGCAGTTGACAAATGCATAATGACAAGGCAGTGACAATGCTTTGCATAGGGTAAGCACTCAAATATTTGATAAAGGAAGTAAAAGACTTTTTATATTTTTATGAGAGGCATACTTGCAAAAAGTTGCTTTTTCTTATCTCTGTAGAAGTAATTTTTCCACTCCAAGATCTGTTGACTGTGTAGAACACTCTCTGAATAACCTAGTTCCAAAAAGAAAACAAAACCAAATTAAAAAGTTAATCATCTCTATTACTTTATCAAAGGTTACCTTATGATGCATTTGGAACTAACAGTTTTAACTTTTTGATTTCAAATGTAATTTCCAGTAAAAAAAAAAACATTTTATGTCTACAGTTATATATTATGGATCTGCAGTTATACTTCTGAGAAAGGAAAAAAAATCTCTATTCTCAAATTTTCATTTCCCAGCTGCTCACATACTTCTTTGTTTCCTTTTCACTTACACAGTGATGTTTGATTCAACTTTATTGGGCAGGATATTTTAGGAAGGCAAACCTCTTTGTTTCTCTCTTTAGAAACAACTGCTGGGTTGGCTTAATGATTGATCAGAAGGTCACAAAGATGGCTTCCATGATTCAAGAAGACATTATTCTGGCTATTAAAACCTTATTTATTATAGTTTTGAAGACTTTTGGTCTTCCAGATTGTATGAAGTTCAAATTCACTTGGGATAATTTATACCCTCACCTTTATCTGGGGAAGAATATCTCTGTTATTGGCTAGTGTTTTAATGATTTTAGTACAAGTGAGACTCTAGAAAAGATCAGAGAAAGGATGCAAAGGAGGTAAGAAGCAAATATGTCTAGGTTGGGGATGTGTGTGCTACAGTGCAGGGGAGCACTGCAGGATGACAGATGGTGTGATCCTGGAGGTAGGAGCCACAATACATTTTTAGCAATCAATGCAGGAAGTACAAACAAGGGAAGACAGCTATACATCTTCCTAAAAAGTAGGTCTTAATGAGGAACGAAACTACTGTTCTGATTCTGGATTCTTCAGCAAACAGAGTGATTCTCAATAAAACAGAGGGAAGCTAGTAGCATGATGAAGGTTCAACTTCTGCTGCTTAGTGCTCAGCATTCAAAACCCCACCCTTGCTGTCTGTGCTAATCTGGGCCTTTCAGAATGGTGCTTAAATACTACACTTCAGAGAAAGCCTCAAAATAAGTACTGGGGTAGAGCTCTGTCTTTGATGCTCCCACTGCCTCTGAGCCTTCCTCAGGCATCCTCATGGTTTGTTCCACCCTGGGGTACCTAATTTGTGATCAACTCCAAATTGCAAGAGACCTAATCTTTTTTTTTTTTTTTTAATTTTTCCTGGTATTGCAGATTGAACCCATTGTGCCTTTGCACTAAGCTATACTCTCAGCCCTTTATTTTAAGACAGACCCTGCTAAATTGCCCAAGTTGGGCTTGAGCTTGGGGTCCTTTTGCCTCAGATTTGTAGAGTGCATCTAGAGAGATTAGATGCATGCAACATTACACTTGGCCAAGAGCTGGTTTTTCTTGACTTGCATTCCAGTCATTTTTTAATCTGGCGCTTTGCATATAATGAAGCCAATAATGGCTTGATAAAATAAGGAGATTTGGCCACTATGTAACAATAGTTTGATGTTATCTTTGTGATAAAGGAATATGGATAGGTTTGATAGTCAGATGAACAACTCTATTCAGAGTTTTGAATAGTAGATGGGATATTAGTCCCCCCAAAATATTTCACAATATATTGGTGTTTCACATAAATAGGTATTTATCTATGATTTATAGATAGAGGGTATACAAATGATGTGAAACATAAAACAGGGAAGGGTAACTATATTAAAAATGACTGTGACAGATACTACTAATGTAGCAATGATTAGTCCTGAGGAAAAAATAAGAGCGGAATGTAGATGCGATGGTCATCTGAATGGCTATCATGTAGAAGCAACAGCTGATTTGTTCTGTTTTGGGCCAGAGGACAGAATTAGAAATACGGAATGGAAGGGCCACTATACTCAAATGCTTCAAAAGAAGCATTTGGGCTTGTATGAAGTCATGAAGTTACTTTTCACAAGTACTGAAGCAAAAGTTCACAGGATTTTTGTACTGACTGGAAGCCAGACTAGCTGATGCCTGGTATCTCTACTGGGGGCCCCACCCACTCAGACCCTAAGGTTGCTGAGGCCAGAGAATGTCTCACTCAACACAGTACCCTCAGCAATAGCTTGGCAATTCATATAAAAAAGGGTGGACCATTTTTAGCTCAGAAATTCTAGAAATAATGAATCTTATTTTATTATAATTCAAGTTAGACAATTTCAATATATGTATCCAACTTTGTCCTTTTCCTTGATTTTGAATATAAATTTAACTTACTCTGCTTCCTAATTTATATTTATCTACTTACATGATTTACTGTTTTATACTTCATATGAAACTTTAATCTATTCATTTCTCCTTATTTTATTATTCTCCTGTTTTTGTTCTGAGAGGACTTTTAAAATATGTGAGCAGTCAGGTGTTCTTTAGTTTAGCTTCTGCTAAACTATTTACTTAATACAATATACTTGTATTCTGTTGTTCTGTAGCCTACATCTCCTTATTCAATGGCTCCATCAGCATATTTTCCCCGTTTCTACATTACTGGGTCAGCATTTCATATTATTTAGGTAGGGTTACCATCTAGTGGTTAAAGCATGTAACTGCTGGTTCAGTTATTTATTTTTTTAAAAATGTGTACACAAAAATTAATCACAATTTTTAAAATACAAGAAAACCTTAAACAATAATCAGGATAATTATTTACAACCAGTGAGAGTAATGAAACAGTCTTTCATCAACAGACTGCGAGTGAACTTGACAGACAAGTCAGTTTTCTTTCTTCCATACATCCATTCAGCTGGAAACTTGTAACTTACAAATATTGGCAGCCAGCATTAGAAGTGTTCAGTGGCTCTGTCACGCAGTTTTGAAAGGAGACTACATGGAGGCACAGGAGTCCTCACTGTAGGTAATCTGAGTGCAGATGAACACTTAAATGCTGGGGCCCCGCTCTGCCATGGGCAAAGGGTGGTAACTGGAATACTATCTCATTCTTTGGTTAATATGGCTCTGGAAAGTATTTCTTTGTGGTCTTTTGTAGAATATGGAAAATTAAAAATGTGTCTAATAAAAGTGGTATCTTTTTCTGTTAAGAGGAAAAAACTTCAATGACAAAGTTAATAATAAGCTCTTAGTGATGAGTAGTCTCTAATCAAACCAGTTATCTTAGAAAATATGTGTCTAGGACTTTGTTCTCCCCAACAATTAAAATCCTGGTGATGCAGCCTTAAAACCAATTAACATACTGAATACATCATCTGAGTAAGTCACAAAATATCTTTACTTCTAGTACCAGTATCATAAAGAAGTATTTTAAATCTCACTGCTTATTTTAAAACCTGCGAGTACCTTTCCCCTTGAAAGCCGGCATACCAGAGAGTTTGGACAAGCAATCATTGGCCCTCTGCTTACTACACAAAACTGCAAGCTAAAGCATTTCAATTTTCTGATGCTTCAGTTTCATTATCAAGTGGTTTACTTCTGAATTGTTAATTCTTTCCAGAAATAAAGGAGAAGAACATGGATTTTTGATGCAATCTCTTACTTAGCTCATATTCTCTTTCCAGTCTCAAAAGCACTGACAAAAATACGACCTAAACAAACAAAATGTCTTTTCCTTTAGTATATGTTTTTTTGTTTTCACAGCACTGACAATTAAATCCATGGTAGGGGAGTGCTCTATCACTGAGCTACACATTCAGACACTTTTGTTTTTTATTTAGAGACAAGGTCTAAGCCTTTGCTAACCTCCTACTTGTGAGTCTCTGCCTTGTAAGCCTTCCAAGTTGCTAGGATTACAGGCACGAACCTGCCCTCTGCCTCATAGTGCATGCAGATATAATACATGTTGAATACCCCTTATTCAAGACATAATACCAGAAATGTTTTGAATTGGAGTGTCTTAGATTTTGGAACATCTATATAGACTTTATTGGTTGAGTATCCCTAATCTGAAATGATCCAAAATCTGAAACTTTTTGAGTGTGGATGTTCAGATTTTGTAATATTTCAGATTTCATATTTTTGGACTAGGGATGCTTAACCTATATAGTGTACTTTGACACTATGTCACTGAGATTATAACATTCAGTAAGAACGTATAAATAAATATCTCAGAACATACTTTTCTGAGATATTTGTCATAATTTTCTGAGATATTCGTTTCTTAGAAATAGTATGATCTTATCTGTTTTCCCATAAACAGGATAGAAAATGTTTTAGTTTCTTTTATGTCTATTAATAAAACTAGTCAGCATCATATTGAAGGTCCTTATTTTGTATTTCTTCTAGAAAAACTCTTTGCACTCTAAAATAATACAAAGTCTAATGACTTTAAGATATTACTTGATCAAATTTTGTAACAAAAGATATTGGGGAGGCACAGGTAAGTAGTTTGATAAAATTCTACTTCCAAATATTCATTGTTCTACTTTTTATTTGTGCTTTTCTTTTTTGGGTGTTAATATGAGATTATCACAATATCAGTTTTCACTTAATACATATCAATTTACATTCTATATTTCCATTTGACTCGTTTACTATTTATGATGCTGTTTTGATTTGCTGTATTATTTTATCTCAAGTACTTTATCATTTAATGACTACTTCTGAAAAATGAATTTACTGTCCGAATAGGGATAAAGCAGCATAATATTAACAAAGTAAATTTAACAAATGTAAACAGCAATATGCAAATTCCATGAAAACTACTAACAGCAGAGGTAATTAATTGTATATTAATTCACTGATATGGTTTTTATTTTGCTCAATGATTAACACAGCAAAATTCTTCTAAAAATGTGAATTAAAGGTGAACAAAATAGTTTCACGGTTTTCCACTTCAAATTCATAAGACTTCCTGTGGACCATTTGCTAGGTTACCAGAGACCACTGTTGGCCTGAAATACTAACCAGAAAGAACACATAAAGGAAATTCATCTCTGTTTCATTTTTCTGTTCATTAATACTTTTTTTTTTAAAGAATGAATTCCAATAAGAAATTCTTCCTTAGGGAACATTTTCTGAATTGAAACAAGGTTGCTGCAACTTTATTATTTCTAAGATCTTTCCTAACTTTTAAGATTCTAAACTATGTTGCTAAGGTGCCCTGACTTTACAGAACAGTCTGTAATCAGACATAATAATTCTCTTTGGGATTGTGGCAGAGCTAATACATAATTCTTCACCAGGAATATTTTCACTTATTCACTCAATAAATATGTGTCTATTATGTGTCAGGCACTACTCTAGTACTGGAGATAGGACAGTGAAAAATAGAAGGTTGTTGCTCTCTTGGACTTTATTATAGAAAAGAAGATGGAGAATAAATAAATATTTAAATACTTGATAAGAGTAAAGAAGAAAAAGCAGGAAAAGTGAACTGAGTGTCTGGGGAAGGGAGCAGAGAAGGAAGAAGAGGGGTTGAGAAGACAAGAGTGATCAAGAAAGGTCTGAGAGGGTGTCTGGATAAAGAGAGAGGATCAGCGTGGGGGAGATCTGTAGAAGAGGAAGAGGAGGAACAAAGCACCTGAGGCAGAAGTTGGTTTGGTCTTCTCAGAAACGGAGGAATGGGAGGGATGTGGAAGGCAGCTCTGAAAGCAGAACCGTGAAGGTATGGGGTGGGAAAGCACAGTCTTAGCAAGGACTATGGCTTTTATTCCGACTGAGATGGGAAACCACAGAATGGTCTGATGAGTGGAGGATGACATGACCTGACTTACATTTCTAAAAGAGAACTTCGCTCCGGGCAATGACGGTAGACTATAAAGTAATGGGGTTGGAGGTAGAAAGATATCAGAAAATTGAAGTAATCCAAATAAGAAATAAAGGTGACTGGGCCAGGGTGGTTGTGGTAGACGTAATTTACACAGTGTTATGATTAATGATGACAGTGACACCTTCTGGCTCACAAAATCTTACAAAGTTTTATAATGACAAAAGGGAACTGAGAGAAAAGCACACAATGCAGCTTCATATGAGCATAAAAAAGCGTACTATTTTGTAACATGGTAGAGCTGTACTCTCAGAATAGCAGGGTGCTTCCTAGGGCTGGTGTCTGTAATGTCCCTAAAGATAATCTGGGAGGGAGGGCAGAGAAAGCATGTGATGGCTGTCCTGGGCACTACTGGCCCTAGTGCGCTGTCACTCATGGCTATGCTCTGCCTGTCATGGAGCCAACAAGACTGTGCCAGGGACACAGGGAGAGGACACCTCGCAAGGCAGGGGATGGTGGTTATTCAGGATTCATACACGATGTGTTCTGCTTAAGTACAAATTCTCTCATTAGTCCACTTCAAACTTTGAGATGCAAAAGACACATGTTTTTCTGGGACAAACTGCTAAAAATTATTTCCAGTATTATTTGAAAATGCTAAAAAGATCCATTGGATATCAATATACATAACTGAGTAAAAGTATTTTCTTAAGTCCAGAGAGAATGAGGATAATACTTCTGTTTATGCAAGAGATCTCTTTCAAGCCTTGGACACACAGAACAAGAGAAATGGATACAAGAAGAAATGGATACAAGAAGAAAAGAAGAGAAATGGATACAAGAAGAAATCATTAATTCAACTTTACCCTGCCTTTTGTCTACTTAAAATAATCATTATAGCTTAAGTAAACTCTGGCAGACAGATCAGGCTAGGGCTTAGCTCTGTTTTAGAGCATCTGCATGTGAGGCCCTGGGTTTGGTCCCCAGCCGCACATGTAAACACACAAAAGATGAACAAGTGCATTAGAGAGTTGTACTAAGATAGCCTACCGTGGTGATGTAGCGGGAGTGGAATTCTGGAGCATCTTTCAGGAACGTAAGGCCAGGGTGTGTATCCACCACATCCTGAAAAAGATCAAAACCAAAACTGAATTAAGAAGCATAAAAAAAAACCTACGAAATTTTTGTTAAGTAGAGGAGGCTTCCAGATGAGTAAACCTGCTAATAAAATTGAATGATGTATTTAAAATTTAATGATTTAAACTCAAATTTTGTTACAAGCATACTTATGTGATTTTCTATATACAAAGCATATTTAAATGTAAGTTTAAAATTTTAATTTAAGTACAATTGGTAATTTGTGAATCAAATGGAGTTACGTACTATATTGTAAATCTATTTTTTTTTTTTTAAAGAGTGGGACTTGCTATTTGTTCAGGCCAGCCTTGAACTGACTAATAGCCCATGCTGGCCTTGAACTCATGGTAACCTTCCTGACTCAGCCTCCTGAGTACTGGGATTACATGTGTGCACCACCATACCTGGCTCTATCTGTAATTCTAGGACACTTTTTTTTTTTTTTCTTTTTCTCTTTTTATCGGTACCGGGGATCAAACTCACGACCGCCTGCTTGCAAGGCAGGTGCTTATGCCACTGAGCTAAATCCCCAGCCCCTCTATCTGTAATTCTAACACATGAAAGCATGTCAGGGAATTTATCCTACAGATCACAGTAGCAGTTGCTAAGTAATATTTATATAAAATAATGATATGCCTAAGCCAATGAAAATGATTCTCGTAATCTAGAAGCAAGGTAAATTTTGGGGGAAAAAAGCCATTCAGCCAAGTAGTTTGAAATCTGTCCTTATGAAGATGTGTGAGCTAGCTAGTGTCTATCAGTCTTTATAACAATAATTGTATGGACAAATATGTTCTCAATTTAGTGTTTATTTATTTTAAATCCTATTATCTTATTCTAAGAATTATTAGAATAATTAAAACTTTGAAATACTGTTATTTTCTACTGTGAATTTTAAAGTACTTTGAGCATAAAGAATTAGAGATAATTACTGTTAATTTTATAATTGCAGGCAACTGCTATGCCAACATATATAAGTCTACTAATTTGCTAGTCATCAAAGGACAGATACCACCAGTAACACATATTTGTTTCTTCTGTGAAGTTAGAAATATATGTCTACCAATATTGTCTTAAAAACAGTGGGCCTTCCCATACATGTCATATGTTTGAATTTGGAATTAGTTTTAGAGTTATACATCAATTGTAAAAAGTACTACAGAGACAGAGATTGTGACACCTCCTCCTTGCCTTTGTTGGTCAGAATTGTTTTTGCTATTCTAGGTCTCTTTTGATTCCAAATGAATTTTAGGATTTTTTTTTCCAGATCTGTGGAGAATGTTAATAGTATTTTGATTGGAACTGTTTTAAATCCCTATAACAATTTTGGGAGTATGGCCATTTTCACAATGTTGGCTCTTCCTATCCATGAGCAAGGTATATCTTTCCATTTTTTGATGTCCTTTTCAATCTTCTTTCAGTATATTGTAGTTTTCAGTGTAGAGGTCCTTTGTTTCCTTTGTTAGATTGATTCCCAAGTATTCCACTTTTTTGGGTGCTACTATGAAAGGCGCAGTCTGCTTAATTTCTCTCTCAGTGAGTTTATTTGTGTACAGTAATGCTAATGATTTTTTAGTGTTGACTTTGTATTGTATGAATCTGGTTATTAAATCTAGAAGTCTATGGTATGGTTTTGGGGGTCTTCTATGTAGAAAATCATGTCATTTGCAAATAGTGATAATTTAACTTTTTCCTTTCATTTCATTATTTCTTTTCTTTTGTTTCCAGAACTATACTGAATAGGAGTCCTTACGAATGGATATCCTTCTCTTGTTCCTGATTTTACAGTGAAAACTTTCAGTTTTTGACCATTCAGTATGATCTTGGTTGTTGGGTTTGTTGTAGATGGCTTTTATCAGACTGAGAAAAAGACCATCAATTCCAATTTTGTGTAGGTTTTTTTTTAATCATGAATGAGTGTTGGACTTTGTTAAACACTTTTTCTGCATCTACTGAGATGATCATAGGGTTTTTATCCTTGGCTCTGTTAATGTCACATATTACATTTATTGATAGCATGTGTTGAATGAGTCCTGCATTCCTGGGATGAATCCTACTTGGTCATGGTGTCTAATCTCTCTCTTTCTCTCTTTTTTAACTAATACTTACTTTTAAAATTTTAAAGGAACTAAAACAACAATAAAATGAATCAAAACAGAGATGAGACAGCAGAAAATCTACAATAGTTATTATATTGCATATTGTTGCCCTGTAAATAGTTGCTTGGCTTTAGGCTTGCAAAGTTAAACAATACAGTTTCTTTTTTTTTTATTTAAGGAGAAAAGAAAAAAAAACAGTGAAGGGGTACAAGTTATACAGATTTACAGAAGAAAAAAATGCGCAGTAGGAAATCACTAGTTAATGGATTACATATTGCCATCTTAGAAATAATTGTTCAAGTCACAAAATTAAAGCTTGTAGAGTGGACATTCCAACAATGATACTGCAAACAGTTCTGTTCAATGATCCAATAAAACTCTGTGATATCATTTTCTATCTTATACACTTAAATATACATGCAGTTATATAGTTTAGAGCACTTTCTTTTCCTCTCTTTTGTACAATGACTATTACACATTTTGGGTTTCATTGCTCCCACGGTTCTTATTGCTTTTTTGGAAGAGAGTAAAACCAAATGTGACATAACAGAACAGAATCGGTCAAGTCACAAGGGTGGACATAATAGATAATATAAAAACATAATACAAGGTGATCAACAATGGTTACCATAATGCCTCCCGCTATCTCTAATAGAATTGCCTATATCATTAGTTGTAATACAATTGAACAAAACAGTAAAGAACAAAACCGACAAAACCAAAACATTGGAGACATTGTAGGTCTTCAAAAGTAGATAAAAGTCAACGAGAATGGGCGTTATAATGAATCTCATTATCTTCTCAGCTGATGCCTAAACTTTCGAACCTGATACTATCCAGCAAAACAGAATAGGGGAACATCACTCAAAAACAAGATGGTGAGAGTAATACAGGGCTTCAAATCGAGATAATAGAAAGTCAAAGTGGGTTACTATATTATATCCTGCTATTTTTTTCCCTTTAATTAAACAGATAAAAATAAAAAAGTAAATAATGGAGTGGAGATTGAGAAAAAAGAGGGCATAACAGCGAAACAGGACAGATCAAAACATAACCATTTAAGCAGAATAGTGTTTCACCACCAGATAATTCCGACCCAAAAGTAGTTACCATATTGACTCTTTCCTTGAAGTCCTTGAGTACAACTTCATATATTGTAGCATTAAGTATATCAAAACAATGTAAAACCATTTAAGAGAATGACAGCATTATAGAGTATTTAGAATCGACTAACAGAAAATGAACAATGGTTTCTGTATAATCTCCTTGTCTTTAAAAGGTTTTTGCTTATACTATCGTACATAATAAAATCCAATAAGATACAACCTGTTTAGACCATTGGAGACAGAAGAACAAAAGCTAGATGAGACTTCAAAACAAGATGGTACTAAATCAGTATTACCTATTATGATGTCATTTTCTCCAAAATAGCTGTTCCTATCATCCAATCTTCTCTGTCTCATTTCTGTTGAGCTCTTTTTCTGTCAGTAGCTGTCAGTTTGTCTTCTTCATTTTGTTCTCTGCTCCATTCGTTGTGGCCTCCCCACCACTATTTCTGGGTTCTTTGTATTTTTCTTTTTTTAGAATATCCTGCAATACTTTCTGTAGGGTTGAATTAGTGGTTGCAAATTCCCCCAGTTCCTCTTTATCCTGGAAGCACCTCGTTTTTCCATCAATTTCCAGGGACAGTTGTGCAGGATATCTCAATCTTGGCTGGAGATTATTATCTTTCAAAGCTTGAATTATTTCCCCCCATGCTCTTCGTGATTTGATGGTTTGTGCAGAGAAATCTGCTGTAATTCTGATGGGTGTTCCCTTGTAAGTGGTCTGTTTCTTGTCTCTTACAGCTTTTAATATTCTGTTCTTGTATTGAATTTCTGGAATTTTAATTATTATATGTCTGGGTGTTTCTCTGTTAGGGTTGTAGGTAGCTGGGGTCCTGTATGCCTCATACATCTGAGTATCTTTACCTTTTGCTAAATTAGGAAAATTCTCCTGGATTATTTCTGTGAGTAGCTTTTGTAGTTCACTTGTTTGTGTCCCTACTTCTTCTTTTATGTTCTTAATCCTTAAGTTATGGCTCCTCTTATCATCTTCTTGTCTTTGTATTATTGCTGTTTGTTTCTTTGTTATTTTTAAGAAGTTTTTCATTTCATTCTCCCATATTACAAGTCTGCCCTCCAGATCAGATAGTCTGTCCTTAGTTTCTTTCAAGCTGTTATGCCAGTCTTGGATAGACTTCTTAATTTCTTGATAGTCCCTTTGAACCTGCTTCACATACTCAATGCTTTCTCTGTTTTCTCCATCAAGCAATTCTCCCCTCTTTTTCTGTTCTTCCATTCCACCATCTGTTTTTTCCTGGGTGGTGCTTAGCATTTCTCTAACTATTCTGCATACTTCTAGCTTCAGGTCGTTGATAACTTCATTCCTGAATTGGTCTATGAGGCTCTCTATATGGCGCTTAATGTATATTGGTGCGGTGTCCACTATTGCCTGTTTCTCAGAATTGGGGGCCGAGGAGCCTTTCTTGTTGCTTCCCTTCCCCATATTTTCTGTTCCTTATAAAATGCAAGCTTACATAGGAGGCCCGGCTTCCCTGCCTGTCAGCCACAGCCTGATCAAATTGCGCTGGCTTAGATGTTCCCGCCCACCGCTGTGCACCAGGGAGTTGCGGAGGAGGCAGCCTACGCGGGAGTCAGTCGCCCCTCCGGGCCACCGTCAGGCTCTGGGATCTGGGTTAGGCCAGTCTACGGAGTCCGCCAGCAGCATCACGCAGGCCAGGCACTTTTCACCAATCCTGTCCGACAGGGGAATGTGTGGCTGGAGTCGCCACCGTGCCCTGCTCTTGCAGGACTGCCTGAGCCCAGAAAGTCCTCCGCTGGAGTCAAA